ACCTCCGGCGCCAGAGCCCGACGTGTAGTTGTTCTTGGGGCTAGGGCCGAAGCGTCTCTCCTTACGGTTGTGGCGCACGAGGGCCACCTCGACGAGGATGGAGATGATGAAGAAGATGCTGGGAAGCGTTAGAACTTGGTTTTCCAGGCGTGAATGGGATAAGAACTTACATTGCGACGATCGCGACGGCCAAGCAGGCGGACTGCAGCTTGCAGGCTGTTCTCAGGCTGGGGAGGTGAGTCCAACCATCGCTTCCGGTATTCGTGGGCTCGCCGTCGGCGGGGCCGTTGCCGAAGGGGGTGTTGACGGTGCCGGAGCACGAGTTGGCACCGTCCTTGTTGGCGACGGCAACGTAGATGAAGGCGGCGATGAAGGCGACGTCGAGGACGATGGCCACGAAGGAGGTGAAGGCGTGGCCGGCGAGGCAGCACAGCAGGAGCAGGCCGATGAGGGTGTACAGCGTGGCGGAGCCGGAGATGCCCTCGACGGCGCGGATCTTGTTCGATATCGGCAAGCTGTGGTTATGCAGCGTCGCGAGGAAGTACGAGTAGATTGCGAGGATGAGGGCCGCGGAGCCGAACTGGACGCCTCGGACGAACCACTGCAGGAATTTCAGGGCGAATGCCATGTTGATGATGATGCTTGTTGTCTCTTAATGGTGCGGTTTGTTTGATCGGGTGAGACGAGTCAACGTATTGATGTTGGTGCTCGATTCACCCTTATGTACTGGGCAAAGCGTTTGATAGCGATAGATGGACAAGGTGAAAAAGCAACCTTGCATCCTGCGTGTGCGGATATCGGGGAAGGAAAGCAGACCCTTAATACTTTGAAAAGCAATGCCCTCGCGCTGCCGGTAGTGGTGTGAGATGGGTCTGCGGCCTGCCGATCCCGCTACTGCGTCGATCGTGGCAAGGAATAGCTTGACCGGGGTTTTCTCTTTCCTTCTTGGCTCGGTATTTTAGTCTGGACGGAGGCCCCAAAGTAGACTTAATTCTTTTCCTTGCAGCTGCCAGTTTGGACGGACAAATGGCAGTGACGAAAGATGGGCGTCAGGTCTTGGTACGGGGCGCTGTTTGCGGGCGATGACGAGGAAGGTTGTGGCTGATGATGGGGGGGACTGCTCCCTTGGTGGGGCCTGCTATGATGTCAGACGTCTTGGAGGGGCAGACGGCGGCGTGATTGGGCCGGATGGGGAACGGGTTCTCCACTCGCAAGCCGGCACGGCCACGGTGCCAGGTGCTGCAGTGTGGCTTTGCGGGGGCGGATGGACTCCCTGGAGAAGTCGGTTGGTCGGGATCGGTCGGCGACAAGGTCGTTCCATCGCTGCTAGATCCACTTGGGTGGGCTTTCTACGGCACGCACGGGAAGAACCCAGGGGCTTCCCAAGTTGACGTTGAAGGTGGTGTTCGTGACTAAAAGGAAACGAAGGAAACCGGGATGCCTTCCAAACGGCCAAAGGTCAAGAATTGGCAGGAGTTTTATCCGTTTGTTCCTGAGTCTGCGCCCAGACGCAGACCTTGAGAGTTACCAGAGCCTTACGTGGTACGTACAACTGCCACAACAATCCCGTCATGTCTGACATGAGGATTTTCAGAATATCGCGTTAGAGAGATCCTGGAATTGCCCACATTTCGACCTCCTGTTGCACATTGAATTCCCTCTTCTAACTTGAGACTGGGGCGACCCGCTGTATCCGGTTTTGGTGCCGTTGGAAAAAGAGACAGTGTACGCGTTGCCGAGCATGTCTCGGTTTGATGGTCAGGACCTGGCTGCTGACGATCATTCGTAGGCTAGCGTGCATCTGCAAGGTCGGTCCTGTCGATGATATAATTGATTTTTTCCTTGTTCAGCTGGCATTTTTCATCCGTCAGTCGCTTTGCGTGCAAAATTGTTTCCATGTCGCTTTTCCTCAGCTGAATCGTTTCCCCTGGATCTTTCAGGGTTTCCCCAGGTGCGGAAGGGGGCTGATTGACTCGCTCGCAGCGGTCTGGCCCTTTCCTCTGAGCCCAGAGGCGCGTGTACATGTTGCATTTGATCAGGGCAAATGGGAAACAAGCTAGCCCTCTAGATGTAGTGTCAGAATGGGTGAGGGAGAAGAACATCGAGCAGCAGTGATGGTGCAGCCAATGGACAACGTCGACGAGATCTGCCAAATTTTGCCCAATTCGGCATGTCAAGCCCGGACGGTCCAAATTGCCGACTTAGACGTCAAGATGCAGACGAACCAACTTTTAGGTCCGGACATGTTTCGTCATCACCCTCATTTCTGGCTTTCTTCGCATCAGGATAGCTCATGTCCTTGCAGTAGGTTGTCGGAAAAGGTCGTTAATCGGACGATTCAACTGAATACAAACTGAAAGCCTAATGCAACGCCGGAAGCCGAGGCATGCTTTTTGGAGGCGGGGCTCTTTCCTTCAAGTCGGTAATCACAGGTCGAGGCTTCAGGGCCGCCCAACACCAAGCCTGGAAACGTTGCAGATGCCCGTCGTTGCTTGTCTCACACAATCCACCCAGCAAAAGTACCGAGACAATACATCGTTCGTGTAGGTGCAACGTCATGAATCGGAACAATTCCGAACCCTTGGGCGCATCATTGTGGCATGACATGCGGCTTTCATCGGCCACTCTACCCGCTTGCTGAGGGTTCATGCCTTTGGCTAGGAGATGCTAGGCGTTCGCAGGTTAGGGAGCCATTGCTTGGTATCGGAGACGTGATTCGGAGTGGGGCCCGAAACCCATCCCCGTATCGGGATGCCGGAGACTTGCGGCACGCGGAGTCTGCAGGGCCCGCTCACGGTCCAATGCGTCGAGAAGCCGAACGGTAGCGCTGGGGGCGCCGAATACGTTCGCTCAGCGTTGCATCCAGCTTGCATTGAATATTCAAGCGCCTCCAGCAGTTCACATGACCTTAGGCTGCTTCCTTACTATCCAAGTGGCACCGATGAGCGCCATCAGTGGGAAGCGCTTCGTATCCAATGCGTCGGTAAGGCGCCCATTGTGGAACATCGGAACGAAAACCAGCCTGTTTTGGTCTCGTCGTGGTTCTGGCGGACTTCGGGGACCAGATTCTGGCACAAATCTCATCGAACCTGCGAGGCACTACCCGTATTGGAGAATTTCGGACTGCTCAAGAACAGGAAAAGCCGCGGGATCTTGGCGCAGAAGCTGCCGAGTAGAACCGTCGGCTTGCCCAAGGCGTTGAGGCCGTTCGAACTACTAGCTCATAAAGGGTTGGGTTTCCCCCCTTTAATCCGACAAAATCGATAGCCCGTTTCCGCTAGCAACAGCCACATTCTGTCGCTATGACAGCTACGGCAAACTCTTGGAACCTGGGTAAATGATTCGTCTGATTCTCTCGATCTGACAGGATCGTGGAGTCTGCAAGTGTGGAGGAGGACTCGCGTCGTACTTGACAGCGCAAGGGCGTCTTGGCGAGCCGACTCAGATGTGATAGCCTTGTTGGCCAATGTCTCCTGCGAGATGTGTGAGTGAACAGCAGAATATAGCATGCGAAACCACGGTCAGAAAAGCCTTAATGAGGAGGGTATTCGACGACATGCTCTTTAGGTTGGCCAACTTACTCCTTGCTGGCTGTGTTTGGCTGTGCGGGATACAAGTAGGTTTACTAGTGCTTTTGGCTCCATGGCCTTGGATGTCGAAAGTAAGGTTGCGGATGATGCTTAACAGCCGACTTCCGTTGTTTGCGTGATCGGCATGAAGGACAAAGCTGGGACATGCTCGAAATATCTTCGAATGCCGCAGTTGCCGATGCTACGGCTGCAACAAAAGTTGTCTGTGTACTCCAAAGCCCTCTACCTGAATGGTAGCCGGTGCCAAATTCAGGGCAAGATGAGACGACGACAACGCCTTGCCTTAGGGGTGGGGAGGGTTACGCAGCTGCAATATCCCAGAAGACGTATGCGGTATCTCGGCAGCTGGTGGTTCAGCTGGGCACCATCGTTGTCGTGACATCGATAGTTCGGTGCTGTAGGTGTGAACCGCGTTGGGGTGCCAAGATGAGGAAAATGAGACCAGATCCTCCCGTGTGGTTGCTTTATCGAGGATATACCACCGACATATCTCGGTTTGAAGACGCGGGAAAAGCTGAAGGTTAGTTGAAAAGATCTTGTCTCACCTCCGCGTCAGGCGGAAGGTTGGCAGTCCAAAGACGCAACTTACGATTCATTGCCCAAGACGCGATTGGTCCCAGCAAATGCGTGTTCTTCAAGCAGGTAGGCTGCTGTATGGGGAAATAAGCGTTGGTCAGGGGCAAGGGCTCACTTCGTTGCCCCTGGACGGTTCTCGCGCTGCGGCTAGCACCGTCAGACGCCACAAATTGCCAACGGCCAATTAGCAGCATAGTGCTGCCTTTTGTCCCTTCCTTAATCCAATATCAGGATGACACTTACCCGGAAGCAGAAAGAAGGGTCCTGGCATCCTTGGCCAAAGTCCATGCCAAAAATACGAAGACACACCAACACCACGATCATCACAACACCCATGAACCGTGGACCCAAGCTCCCGCCACTCTGTTGGGTCCTTCGACACTAATGAACGATGGAGGGTGTTACTCTCTTTGGCGATGGCTGCACTCTTTCTCAGCCTAGACTTGCCTAGCATGCCCAGATCGTCCATCTTGCCGCTATTCCATTCGGTTGGTGCGTCGTCTCTCGGCCTCCTTACACGTTCTGCTGTGCGATGGCTCAAGTCACTACGGCACGGAAGCGCCGAGCCTCCTCCCCTTCCCTCTCAGCCCATTCATCCCTCAGCAGATGTTTCTCTTATCAAACGGCTAGTGGCCTTCTCTCGTTCTTTCCTACTTCACGTCTTCCCTCCCGTGTCGGGCTCGCCCATTACGCTCTTTCCAGGTGCATTTGTTTTTGAGTATCTCACTTTAATACTTCAGTTGAGTCTTTGTGACTTACACAATCACTCACTTACGCTCTTTATCATAATCACTCGTTCTCTTGATTCCGGCCCGTAGTACTATAAACTTCAACATGAAGGGGGCGACATCGTTGCTGCTGGCCCTCCTGGGCCTTGCAGCTAGAACCACTGCCGACCCAACATGGCCTGCGGATATCGACGAGCTCGAAGAAATCATGTACCAAACCACCGGTGTCCGGTCACGAAAGTTTGCCGACTCCGTCAACCCCTGCACACGAGAGGTCTCTGGTGCAGGTCGCAAAAACGCCGCCGAGTGGCTGAGGACCGCCTTTCACGATATGGCTCCGGCAAACGTATACAGGGGAACTGGCGGCATGGATGCATCTTTGCAGTATGAGCTGGGATCGAGTGACAACACAGGTCCAGGCTTCGGCACCACCATGACCTTCATGGCTCCCTATCTGACGCGCAAGAGCAGTATGTCAGACCTCATCGCACTTGGCGTCTACACATCTGTGTTGTCTTGCAAGGGCCCATCTGTTGCCATACGAGCCGGCCGGATCGATGCAACAGGACCGAACGACTCTGGCGCCGTTCCCACACCTGGAGACTCGACTCCAGTGTTCCTGAACCGATTCGTTCGCATGGGTTTCTCTACAGCAGACATGATACAAATGACGGCGTGCGGTCACACCATTGGCGGTGTTCACTCGGCCGACCATCCCGATATCGTCCCTGCTGGCCAATTCACAAACGAAGTTGCCACCTTCGATACCACCGATGCCGCGTTCGATCCCAAAGTCATCACCGAATATCTCGCCGGTACCACTCAGAACCCACTGGTCAACGTTCCCGGGACCCAGAAGGGAAAGAATTCCGACTTCAGAGTCTTCAACGCCGATAATAATGCAACCGTAAAGGCGATGACAGACGCCACTGTCTTCAACAACGTCTGTAAAGCCATCTTTGAGAGAATGGTCAATGTCGTGCCGTCCGGCGTGACTCTGAGCGACCCCATCCAGCCCTACCAAGTGAAGCCGGTACAAATGCAACTCACACTCGCCGACGTATCAACCCTGTCACTGACGGGTGTTATCCGTGTTCGCACGACCAACTTTCCCCTAGCGAACATCGCCAGCCTCACTATCAACTACAAGAATCGGAATGGCGGCACCGTTTGTGGATCTGGACCTTGCGCCTTCACCATTACTGTTTCTGGTGCTTCCACGAACTTGGAAGAGAGCTTCGCGTGGTTTACAATTATACAGAATCAACAGAATGGAGTCAGAATCCCGGTCTCATCTGGTATCTCATCCTTCACAATAACAATCAATATGAACGATGGTTCCACCAAATTTTTCGACAACAATGGCAACGGTTATCCCATGCAGGACGGTATTTTCCTTCAGACTGACCAGAGCTGTTTGACCCAGTCCAACGGCACGGCCACTTTCGTTGCCGCCGTCCGTAACGATCGCATCTCACAGCCTGTAAGCGTTAACGTCTGGTACAAAACAAAGCGTACCACCAGTGTCGTGCCACTCCTGAGCAACATGACACTGGCCATGACACAGGGAGCTTGCCAAGGAGGTTATACCTTCTTCACCGTGACGACCACCATCCCGGGTGGTGTCAGTGTTGAGTCAACAATGGATTTAATCAGCGGAGACATGGTCGATTCTTTCAAGAAGGCCAACACCGTAGGTGGAACCTGCCAGCCGTGGTCTGGAGGTAGTTTTTGCAGCAGTATCACTGTCTCATCTGTTGTTCCGACAAGCACTGCGAGTGCCCCCAGCCACCGTGCTACCATGGGCGGGTACAAGTTCGTTTCTTGCTGGACCGAAGCAACAAATGGGCGTGCTCTCAAGGGCGCGGCGTTCGCCTACGACGGCATGACTTTGAGTAGCTGCATGGCCAACTGCACCGGATTCGACTACTGGGGCACAGAGTATGGACGGGAGTGTTACTGCGGCAACTCCTTGGACTCTACTAGTACTTCTGCACTCTTGGTCGACTGCAATATGCCCTGCTCTGGAGACTCAACTCAGTACTGTGGCGCGGGCAACAGAATCGAGCTGTATTCCACCACCGCCACCCGTACAAGCAGCTCAACCGCGTCTGCGACTGCGACCCTCGCCCATATTTCCGCCGTTGGACAGTACTCTTTGATTGGTTGCCAGACCGAGGCCACCAATGGCCGCGCCCTCCAAGCAACTTCGACGGCAGCCGACGACATGACCCTGGAGAAGTGTGCTACCTTCTGCTCTGGCTACACATACTTTGGTACCGAGTACGGCCGCGAATGTAAGCAGCAGCCAATTCCCTTCCATTTTCATATCGTCTAACAAGATACAGGCTATTGCGGTAACAGCCTACAGGATACTAGCAAATCTGCTCCCATCACTGATTGCAACATGAAATGTGCTGGAAACCAGTATCAGTATTGCGGTGACGGAAATCGCCTCGAGCTGTACAAGCTTGGGACCTCTTCGTCTTCCTCTCATTCTTCGATTGTTTCGGCTACAGCAACGGCGTCTAGCAGCAGCTCGCGCACTTCTAGCAGTTCCTCTACCTCCACCACTCCCTCAAGCACCTTCAGTGCTCTCGGCAGCAGTGGATCTTCCTCCTCAAGTGCTCCGTTTACTGGATCGTCCACTTTCAGCACCGTGGTGTCCTCGACGAGTAGCGCCGCGCCGTCCACCCGTACCTCTTCCTCCTCCGCCTCAACATTGTCAGCCCAGGCCGTGTCAAGCTCAGTCTCCAGCAGTTCGGTGACTCCGAGCAGCAGTTTGTCCTCGACGAGAAAGCCTGTTTCGACCAGTGCTGCAGTATCGTCGACCAGTAGCCTTGTTTCTTCTACCACAACTTCGAGCGCGACTAGCACTGTCCCTACGCTTGCCCACAAAGCGACTGTGGCCGCTTACAACTTGACGGGCTGCTGGACAGAAGGAAATGGCGTTCGTGCGCTGAGCCAGAACAGCTATGCCTCCCACGACAACATGACTCTCGAAAACTGCGCCGCCTTCTGTTTAGGTTACAAGTACTTTGGGACGGAATACGGAGGCGAGTGTTATTGCGGCAACTTCCTTGCTTCGAGCAGCTCGTCAGCTCCTTTGAGCGACTGCAGCATGACTTGCACTGGAAATCAGTACGAATACTGCGGCGCCGGCAACAGGCTTACCCTTTACACCAACAGCAACGACAAGGTTACCGGCCCAAGTCAACCTGCCAACGTTGGCGTCTACTCTTTCCTCGGTTGCCGGACAGAGCCAGCCCAAGGTGGCCGTGCTCTAAGTGCCAAGGCGACGGCTGCAGACAAGATGACAAACGAGGTGTGCGCGTCGTTTTGTGACGGCTTCGCATACTTCGGCACAGAATACAGCGGCGAGTGCTATTGCGGCTCTGCCCTGCCGGACACTTCTCTCGTGGCACCTGTCAGCGAATGCAATATGCTCTGCTCGGGTAGCAGCACTGAGTACTGTGGCAGTGGCAATCGTTTGTCTGTATACAAGAAATGAAGGGAAGGTCTTGATATTTTACGGGAAAATGATGAGTCAATGGCGTCAAGGCATAGTACAGAGGTACGGATGGGATACCATGATGGTTGATAATTATTAATTCATATAATACACTGAACACATTGAATTTCTTCACAATGATGCTCATAAATTCAGTCGGTAATGATGACTATCGTCCAATTTGTGGCCGGCGTCTTAATACTGTAAAGAGGAGACCCAGGGGTAAGAATAACGGTAGTTGTAGTCAAGAGAATGACAGTTGACATGACCGCAGCAGAAGAACGAAGATAAATATAGTAGTAGAAGAGACGATGACAGAAGAAATAACAACAACGACACGGACGACGACAACGACGATAGTAAGGCAGAGTATACATGAGTTCACAGGAAGAGTGGTCGCTCTGGCATGATCAAACTCGAGTATCTCATGAGAATGCAGAGCAAAGAATGTCAAATCTACTTCCTGGCAAAGGTGTCTTTTCTTGCCTCCTTTGGAAACTCTCTTAAGCTGTAAGTTTGACCGAAGCCCCGTCGTATGACAGGATGCAGCCGAGCCAAACGTCTCCTTCTCATCCTCGCTGGACGTATTGGCAGTTTTATCTCGGGACTCTATGAGGCTGCCCTACGCAGGCTATGCCGAGGACTTTGCTCGAGGCACCAAGCGACCTTCAACTAGGATCGCTATGTTCATTCTGATAGGGTTCTTAACGGGCCTTGGTTGTGTCGGTAGGAAGATGACTATGCTTTTGGGATCAGGCAATCACGGACCGAGAGCGTAGCCATGTGGTGGTGGCCGGGGCAAGCGAAACGGCCGCTGTCCGCGTTTCGTGATGATGCTCGCGCAGAGACACATCAGGGCTGACTGCTGAAGCATTGCCCGATTCTCATAACAGCGATGGAGCAAGTGCCGTGTTCGAGTGGTCCATCCGATTCATTTCGCTTGGGACAGGAGGATTACAGCTGACGGCCCGTCTACTCTCACGATGATGAACCGGCCCACGGAGGATGAGGACATGGCGCACCAGAGTTGGCATCGGATCCCTTGCTAGGGGCTGCATACCGTCAATCCAGACGTGAAGTTGAGGGACTCCGGAGAGGGGACATCTCCGAACAGCAGCACGCACTTCTTCGTCTCATCGTCTTGATCTCGGGGTCGTCTAGAATGAAGTTTCCGGCTCGGCACCGGGCTCGAGAGTCTGCTCCATATTAAGACCACTGCTCTCCAACAGTCATTGGCTGTATTCTCTTGCCGATCGTCGCTGAAGGTCTCGACATTCGAATCCTCACCTAATCCAACCAAGCCGGAAACAGCGAACGGGAAGAAGAAAGTCCAAGTGTCGTCGCTCTCTGGCCACGAATAGGCTTCGCGACGTACACCTTTTGGTGTTTATGGCCGCGGTAAAACGATCAGCCGATGGTCCGCAAGTTCTGGACGAAATAGCGATAACAGGAGCATGACATTATCTCCGTCTTCCTCAACTACGCCGCAGTCGTCTGCAACATCGTGAGATGTGAGATAACGAGGCAGCACCGCACCAGATTCTAAAGCGCAGTGACAGGCAATTAAGTCCCGCAGGTTTAGAGTGTGGCGGATTTACCTAGGTCTTTGTCGCGGTCGGGTTCACGCAAATCACGACTACGATCTAGACATCACAGCACCAAGAATGAAGCACCTCATCCTCCTCGGGGCGTGCTACCTTGACACGATCCTCACGCAAGGCGAACCCCTCGCATCGGAGCACGTAGAACCCCTCGCTGACTCACCGTTCCCAGCATCCCGCGCTTCCCAGAAGAGGACGCAAAACTACGAGCGACAAGCCTGCGCGTCCGGCGAGGAGGCAACTGCCCCAACACGATCGAAGTTCTGCAGCAGCTGCTCAGAAACCCGCCCGGCGGCGGCGACGAGTCTTCACCCCAGGAGGAGGCGCTGCAGATGCATCTCGTCTCGACCCTGCCGGAGCGCCAGTCGCAGGCAACAGCGAACATCATCGCCTCACTGACGCCGACGTCACCATCGTCAGGCCAGGAGCCCTCGCCCTCCTCGTCAGCCGTTGACTTCGACCACTCCCTCTTCCGCGCGGGCCACCAGGTGCCGGCGAGCTGCTACATCCTCCGCAGCGAGGCGACCGGCAGCCGGACAATCGTAAACCACAACGACCTCCCCGAGATGACGGCCGCCGAGTTCCTGGTCGTCGCGGAGGCGTTCCGGGGCCGTGGAGAGAAGACATGGTGGCACTTTGAGGGGCGGATACCCGAAACGACGCTCGAGTGTGTCCGATCGTTGAGACGCGTGCTGGGCGCGAGTGCGACGGTCAGCGTCGAGGTCGAGAAGCCTGGGAGACCTGGGCTCAGGGAACTCGCCGCGGAAGCGGACGTCGTCTTTTACTCCAAGAGCTGGGCCGAGGTGAGCATCCTGCTTGGGGAGAGAGAGCCAAGCGTCGTGAAATTGACCAACACAACAGCACTGCGGCTACACATCTGCTGAGGCTTGCCTGAGAGGGGAGAGCCAGCCGCGAGCGTGGGTTTCGAATCGCCGCGTAGGAACCGTTGGCTGATTGTAGGCTACACAGCTCTCTGGCGATGATCACATGGGGGGCCGAGGGGGCGTCGTGCCTATCGCTGCAAGATCAACGTTACGTCGAACGTCCGGTCGAGCACGCAGTCCAGCATGTGGTTGAGTGAGTGACTTAACCCCTCCAACGAACGAGTCGAACGACTCGTTCTCGACCGCTCATCTCTCGCTGCGCCTACGAGGCAGATGATGACCGACACTGACACCCTGCAGCTCGGTAGGTGCTGGAGACACGTTCGTCGCAGGCATGCTTTACGGACTCATTTGCCGGGAGCGTTGGGAGCTGGGAGAGAAGCTCGGCTTCGCGGTCGACCTGGCCACTCTCAAAGTCCAGCGCGAGGGGTTCAGTGGGCTGGGAGACGAAATGCAAAGTCGTGCTAGCGGTGGGTCGTCCGCATCGGGTCAGGCCAGGCAATAGAGCCAGCTTCGTCGCCGCCGCCGCGGCTGCTCCGGATCCTGGCCCCCGATGCCGTAGATGGTCGCCTCGGCCGTTGAGTTGGAACGGGGTGGGTGGACCAAGTGTCCCGCAGTCGTCAGGATTCGGTCATCTGCAGAACTACATGGCAACAAGCCGAAGCCTGCGGTCCGGTGGGCTTCCATCGTCGGTGGTCGCTCCTGATGCGTGTTCCGAAGTGAAGGTTTGAGGACCCGTGTGGGGAACAAGAGGCGGTGTACACAATGGAAGGTGGATGGCGGGCAAGCGAGAGAGAGGCATCTCTGCGACGGGGCAAGTTGGGCTAGAGGCGGACTTCACGGCATAATGTGTTGTGAACATTGCGACCGTCAAAGACGCCTGGCAGGTAGCAAAATTGGTCCAAGATTCCCTTGTCTTTTGTCTTCAACCTCATCGAGCCGCTGCTATACCCGTGTGGAGTGAAGGGGAGTAAATTGGGCTACTCTGCATTTACACAAACACGCATCAGTGCAGATGCCGCATCTCACGCGCGCGGTGCAGGCGAGGTTGCAGATGGCCCGCAGATGCTAGGCGGGAGCAGCTTCTTGATTGCAACAGAGGGAAGACGTTGACGATGAACCAGTTGGGAGCCAGGGATGGTGAGAATCGACAAAAATTTGTGAAGAAATCGATGGATCGCTGGTGAGGAGTCGTCTAGCTCAGTGACGAAACCCGTCTTCAACCTGTTGTTTTGCAGCAAACTTCGCCTGCATTTGATACAGCCGCAGGGAAGCGCGACGCAGATCTCCTGTTCTCAGAGGAGGAACGGATACAAAGCATGGAATGAGTTGAATTCCGCACTGGAGTCAGTCTAGCTGGGGCGGAGTTTTCAGTGGAAAGGGGATCCAAAATGATTTCCCTCTCTTTTACGACTGACTCTGAGCCAAATTCAGCGTGGACGGACGAACGACGTAGGCTGTGGACGGGGAGCATCTGGACAACCCGCCAACTAGGAGATTACCAGGGCATTTGCAGAGCGGTTGTAGGTGTTCTGGGCCCATGGATTTGCGGTGACTCAAGATTGAGGAACGAGACCATCGATTCTTTTCTGCATCGCGTTGTCTTGTCCATTCGGTGGAGCCCATGGCTTGAGTCTCATTTTCGACGTAGGTCTCCATGAACCCTTCCCACCAATTTGTCCTGGCCATTCGGGCTTGGAGCGTCGTAAACAAGTGGATTCCTGGCGAGAAAAAAATTGATATGTTGGCGGCTTGATGCAGCGGAGGTTAGCCCGTGTGTGATTTCAGCGGCCTAGATGCTGCATTTGGGTTACCAAAACCCTCCGCTTTCTGACAAAATCTGTCATGTCGCAAGTATCAGCTCTGGTACACCGGGTCGCTCGTGTGCAATCCTATTATGCTCATGCCGTAACAGGAAGGGTTCTTCCAGAACACAAGAGGCCGAAGAGCGGCATATTCTGATTTCACGAGTCGATCTTGCGTTGACGTCGGCGGTAGGCGATGCGTACCAACAGTACTACTCGATGTTTGCTGGATTCAAAGTATCCGACCTCTCACCGCCGACGGATCTAGCGGGTCGGCGAGTCTCATGAAAGGGGATAAACGAGTGACAGTGTATGAGGAGTTCGTGGTAGCCGAGGCCCTTACGCTACTGCATCGGGCGACAAGTTGACTAGACATGTACCATGGGTAAGTGAACAGTGCAGACCGTGCAGTATGTGGAGACAAAGCTGCGTCCCAATTATGGCGGCACATCGCATTGGAAGCATATGGCGGCTTGCTGACGGGTTGCGTGGTTGCTTCTCGGAAGCTGTGGCATGGAGATGCAGCCCCTGGTCAAGCGACTGAATAACGACGACAGTGCTCAGCAAATACATCCTCCACGTCGGACGTCAGAGGAACGGGCGGTGCCTGGTGGCAAAATGATGGGCATAGACAGTATCTGTAAATGCCTTGCAGGGAATCGTCTCCGGCCCTGCGTCCGCAATTGTTTGGGTATCTGAAGAGGGGCTTACCAGAATTGGGGGCTTGCTATTCGTATATGCCCTGGAGAGCGGATGATACGAGGCGTGCCTGTATTGAACAGAGGGGGTTCTGCAGGGTCGAAAACATGACTTTCAGCCAACGAGGACGGGTCGTCGTCAAAGTGAGGTTGAGTGGGAGGCTTCTGCAGGATATGACAGGCAGGCGAATAGCGTGATGCCCATGCCATGCATCTTGTTCGGGAGTTTGAATGTGCGTGGAGAAGGATCAAAGTTCCGCGTGTCCTTCTCAATGGTTAGCCGTCAAGTGACCGAGGGGCATTTGATTTGAGAGATGGGGGTGTGCGCGTTCGAAGGGATGGCGTCCGCGGGCCTTGGGAAAGGCGGCAGTGTCGCTCATTCAGCAGACAAGAAAGCTAGGACAGGCCGAGGAGGACCCAGCATGGGAAGGGGGGAAAAAAGCAAAACCGAGGGAGCGGAAATCAACGGTTACTGGGAAGAGTAGCGTACTGCGTAAGTTGAGGCTACTTTGGCAAGCCGTAGCAGAGCTGTGAAGCGAGTGGTACACAGTACTGACTGGCGAAAGCTGACATGCCTGAGCAGGGCCGGACTGGGGCTTTGGTGGACGCAGAAGAGAGGCAGCAGCAAAGACCAGAGGGGTGTGCAGCGTGTTAGTCTGTCTGTCGGTCGCGCCCACGCAACAGCGTTTTGTCAACCATGTCTCGTGGAACGACGCAACCTGGAAGTGTGCGAGTACTGGCGGGATGGGCGAAGATGTGGGGGGAGCAACCACCCCACGGCGGCTAGTTTGCTTAGTGCGTGTACGGAGTATCAATGACTGAGTGAGTGTGGGAGTGTGAGTGTGAGTGTGCCTCTCTGCCTCTCTGTGCCTCTCGCTGATACAGAGCCGCTCATCCAGAATCCATCCCTCCTGCCCACTGTGTCCGTCATGCGTGGGCGAGGACCAGGCGAGCCAACGAGTCCAGGGGAGGGGTCGAGGGCGTTGTCATCAGGGGCGTGTGGGCGTCCTCTCTCCCCCGGCCCAGCGAAAACGAGCCCAGTGACCTGAGTTTCAACATGGAAAGCAATGTTGCACTGGACGATGGCTAGCGGTAGTGGTATATACGGAGTAGCGGCAGCGGTAGTCGTAGCGGTGATGGCTTTGTTAGCGGCGGCGGCAACCGGCAAGGATGCGACTAGACGATTTAGTGTGTCGATGGGGAACTTGCGTACCTTACGGTAAGAAGCATAGGGAATCCAAAATCCCCATCGGTGTCGCTGCCCTGCCTCATCGACGTTGCGTCCGTACAAACACACCCCCTTTTGTCATTTCTCTCTTACGCCTACCTATCCCTACCACTCACACCCCCTCCCATTTGCCCTGGGAGATCACTGGATGGCCATTTGTATCGACATGCCGAGTCTACTTCGCCTGCAGGTCGACCTGTCGACCTGTCGCCCGTTGACTTTGATACTTTGTTTGCGAGCTTGCTTGCCGTGCTTCCACCACCGACACACACATACATATGGTGTATATATCTCTTTTGCAAATAGACGTCGTTTCGAACGCAAGGATCCGTCATCGTCACTGAGCGCCCGGATTGTCGAGCCCGTCACGCCCGTCCCCGTCGTCGTCGTCTCCTAGTATGGACCGAGTCATGATCTGCAGCGTAAACTTGTTGGGCAAGCCTCCATGTCGCTCACCTTGGTTACAATCTAAGGCTCAAGCCAATCTCCGTCACCTTCTGAGGCTGTTCATGCCAGTCTTGCTAGTGGTTCGACGTAGAGGAGAGAGAAAAAAAGTTGGCCTCCTGATGCACCGAGTTTGAGGTTCTGATCCTTGAAGAGTTCCACAGAGAAGGCCAACCCGTTCGCATATGGATGGCCTGCACGAAATCATAGCACGACGCCTGACGAGACGAAGCAGCATCATCTCCTCTGAGGTTGGTGGTATATTGCACCACGGTTCTCCGCACATGCTTCTGTCCAGCTGGTTAGTGGTGAGCAACTGACGCATCACCTCCAACATTTTCGTGTCGCTAACCCTCAAACAACACGAGTGAACTTCGAGACTTTGACAGACAAGACGACCAGTCCGGCAGCCCGAGCCATCTCTATCCTGGTTCCAGGCACGTCGCATTGAAGACTGCCTCGATTGCCAGTACCCGGCTGCTGCGGTAGACAACCGCTAACAAGGCAAAGGGTGCTGGGCCCATGGAGCTGGTTATGGAGTGGCACCGTCGGATACTTTCAACTTTTTCTGCTCCTCTCGACTGCCTCGTCTTAGCTCTCTCATTCGATAGCCCGCTGGGCCACACCAACGCTAAAAGAGACACAGTCTTTCCTTCTCGACCAGGATCTAATCATCTCCGGGCCAATCCCTGACATTTCAGCGTTGGCTTCGCTGGGGTCACGACCGGGGCCAGGGCTGGGGCCCGTCTTCGCGGGTGACAGCCATGGCCGTACCACGGCTGATGTCTCAACATCTGTACCTAACAAGTGGTGCTTGCTCATGTCTCCAGATGGCCTAAAGAGATCGTCGGGTCGGACTGTAATTGCTACCGCCGGCTGAGATTGACGGTCTGTCCATAGCCTATCAGGCGATGTCAGACCTATAAGAACCGAAATGAAATATGGCCAGCCGCTTGCCATATTCAATGTGCCTTTGTCGAAGCCATGCTGACAGATTGTCTCGTCAAAACATGGCCCTTTCCGTTGTCGTGCATCGCTCAAGACGCCTTAGCACTCGAGGTTGGGTACTCGACAAAGTGGACGACGTTGCTGTCGTGCCCCGTTGTATCGTCCCGAGAATAGGTGCTCCTGTCAAATCCTTGCATCCATGCAAGGCGCCCAACGAGTCGGCATGGGATCTTTGAATGGTCCGCGCGTGAACAGTAGATCATCGGGCGTAACTGAGTTGATTGGGCCCTTTAAACGGTACTGGGGCCTGGAGATGAATTCGACCAGTCGCTAAGACCTTCAGATTCCTGATTGTTGGCGAGGGTATCAATCCCTGTCATGT